CAATGTGAGGTAAAGTGTGTCGCCAAGGTAACCGGTTAAAACTCAAAGTGGCGATGAGGTCTTAAAATGTATGGAAAGGGTCTTAAAAAAGGTTTTACATGTGACTTCAGGATTCCTGCATATACCCTGGTGACGGAAGAAAGGACCAAAACACCCTCGGCGTAAAAACATGTATTAAAATTTTATTTACAGACATGTACAAAAATATTATCCCTCTTCCTGAAGTGTCCGTGGCGTGGACCCTCCCGTTGGTCCACAAATAAATACCAGTAGTGTGTGTGAGATTCTTAGGGTGTTTGGTCCGCTGGGTTCATCACTCGGCCCATAAACAAGATGGATCCTGAAATAAAACACAACAAAGGTTTGCATTTATTCACTTTAAAGAATCTTCGTCTTCCTAAAAGACTATTTGTGATTGTAAAAGAGGCCCTACCATGCTTTTGGGGGGTTTCCCTTTTGTGTAATGTGTTGTTTGTTACGTACTGTATGTAAATCTGGGGTGTCAAACTCAAATACACAGAGGGCCAAATAAAAAAAATGGGTAGGCTACTAGTCGAGGGCCGGACTGTTTCAATGTTTATTGAAATTAACTTATTGCACATATTAAACCTGGAACTAACAAAGCTTAAATTATTGCCTACAAAAACAACATTAAACATTAAATAATCAGTTCATTCATTTCTTATGGCTCTATCTGCAGCTTTTCCGGAGTCATTTCTTATGATTACATTTCTCCACAGGCCAACAACAGCTTCAACAAAACTATTTACCTCAAAGAGAAAACCAAACCTGCCCTGTTGTCTCAAGAAACAAAGTGCAGAAGGAAACATCCATGTAAACTCAGGTTGCTGCTCTGTGATGCTAGTTCAGATACTTGGCATCTCATCTTGGGGCCAAGTTCATCAATGTTTGGGCTCAGGCTCTGAGCTGAGGAGACCCTCGGGATGGAGTGAAGGTGTGCGTGCAATATACCGGCGGGCCAGATCTAATAGTGATTAGAAATGATCCTGCGGGCCGAAATTAAATCCACCAAGGGCCTGATTTGGCCCCCGGGCCTTGAGTTTGACACGTGATGTAAATGGTCTGCAAAGGCTACAATCCCAAAGTTCCCTTCAGAGGGAGTTTCTCTCCCACACAGAGGGAGTAGTAAGCACACAACTGGATAAATGAAACTTGGATCATACTGAATGAGACGCGTAATTTCACAGATCTTTTTAATAAACCCAGCCACCATTTACTTCAGTTCATTAAGACTTTTCTGTGTTTTGATTCCTCATTTAGCGTGAAGGCATGTGAGAAAAGCAATGTCTTCAAAAATTAAGGTAACTTCAAGTAAATAATTCATATAAAAAGTAGGTAAAATGTTTTTTCTTTGAAAGAAAATCAGACCGTATAAATGATTGCACATTGTTGCATTCAGTCCCTGTGGCATTTGTATTTTTTTATTTAACAACTAGGGGGCGCCATATCTGAAATATAAAAATCCTATTCATGGAGGCCTTTCGAGTTAAACATGCACAACTTTCTGTGTTATTTTAAGTAGCGAACTGCAGAGGGAAACAGTTTGATGTATTTACAAAATTAAATCTATACCTGTGTTGACTTGTCGTATCAGAAATAGGAACGGCCGGTCCGCTTTGAAGACCGGAGCACGGGATCTCTTGAGAAGCACCATAGCTGCAAGGAGAAGAAATGAAAATAACGCACCATCCCATAACCTAATCTGTTCAAAAGGTATGGTTACAGGCCAGTAGAATCGTGTGAAGACGACATTTCTGTCTCATTATTTTGCAGGGAATTTCTCACCTGTAGCTGCAGCTGCCTTCGTCCCGTCTTCTGTGACTTCTATCCTCACTTCATGGAAAGCATCAGAAACATAAAGACTTTCCTCCGCTGCAGGAAGAAACAAGCTGTCAGTATTTCCTGTGTGACCTGAGTACATTTTGAGGTATTTGGTATATTTTGCTTCTAATAATTATGTGCATTTACTAGTAGGGTTTTTTCATGCCATACTTTTCCTTTGAGTAAATGAGTTGATGTACTGACCTGATATTTCAGAGAAGTCAGCTGCTGTCGGGTTGAAGGCGTCGCTGATGCCCATGGCGGGAAGAACCGACCTCAGGTTGAACTTGTTCTGCATCCTGAACCTGTGAACACCAGACAGAATCATGTTAATACATCTGAAATTATGAAGGGAGAAGTATCACCATCCTTTAATTCATTAAAAATACTTAAATCACGCAAAAATAAAGACTCTTTTACAAGTAAAATTCCTGCATTGAAATGTTACTCAAGAAGTGAGTATCGTCAGCAAAATGTATCTAAATGTACCCAATGCAGAACAATCTAAAATAAAAACAAGACAAAAAAAATCAAATGAATTCGAAAATAACGATCCGATTCTTTTGAACGACTCTTTGGTACGAACGAAGGGAACCGAGTCCTACTTGGTGAGAGCCGTTCTTTTTATCGTTGGTTCACTGCCTGCCATACATCCAGTCGCCTTTAAAGGAACTTGCTTTCCTGAATGCAAATGTTTTGCCGTAGATGATGGCATAACACATGCTGCTTGAGTAGTAGTTTGGCTGGCTGAGAGATGCAGCAAGTTATACATTTTCTGTGAGTAAAAGTAGATTTCTGGCAATACAGTCAATCATTATCCCGGTGATTATTTCGCATATAAACCTATTAACCTCGCCCCCTTTAAAAAAATGTCTCTTTTCAACGGCTCTCGGAAAGAAACGGCTTCAAAGAGCCGTAATTCCCATCGCTACTAGAAAATGACCGAAATAATTATAAATGCCACTTACTAACTTTTCTTAGTTGGCTTACCACACTATGGTATGTGTAAAATACTTAATTGAATTGTAGCCTAGATTGAGTGTGAGGCTAAAACTCATGTGTATCAGGGTGCATGATCCGAACCTGGGGAGGAAGACGTCCATCTTGGTTCTGCGCAGGCCAGTTTCCCATGATGCAAGCTGCCGGGCGGTGAGCTGTGACTCGATGCAGGACAGCGGGGTCTTCCTCTCGCTCGGCAGCGCCACCTGCAGGCTGAGCGAGCGGCCCAGGTACGGCAGCTCCAGCACGGTGTAGCGGTGATCCGAGGCCGTCCTGAACTGACCTGGGGGGGGGGACACCTTCAGGTTTATCACTCTTTACCTAATAAATAGCCTAAAATCAAAAGATATGACAAATACAATGATATAAAATGAGAACGATATCTATAATACACATCTATTTACTGGGAATTCACTTTAAAGGTCCCCTATTATACTGTTTTACATCAATATATTAAAAGGTCTCAGATATATACAAAACATGTCTCTGAAGTGTTTGGCTCCAAACACCAAACAGATCATTGCAGCATTACCCATAATCCCCTCTGTTTCAGCCCTGTTTCAAAAGTGCTGATTCTCTGTCTGTTGATGAAAATAAGGAGCCCCTCCCCACGCCCCTCTGAGAGAGATTTGGTTACAAAGAACACAATAGTGCTCTAGGAGGAGATTCAAGTGATAAGGTGGGGGGGGGGGGGTGTTACCTTGGTTGGTGATTGGCTAATGGTTACACAAGACAAAACATCGTTATGACATCATAAAGTGGCCAAAATCTGATCAGCTCATTTTCAAACAGGTTTTTATAGAAATGGATCAAAAAGAGAAAGAATCTTTGTTCCTGAAACTTTCAGAGTCTCTTTCCACAGAGGGGACACATGTTGATGTAGAAGAGACATGAAGAAGAGGGGACACATGTTGATGTAGAAGAGACATGAAGAAGAGGGGACACATGTTGATGTAGAATAGACATTAAGAAGGGGGGACACATGTTGATGTAGAAGAGACATGAAGAAGAGGGGACACATGTTGATGTAGAAGAGACATGAAGAAGAGGGGAAACACGTTGATGTAGAAGAGACATGAAGAAGAGGGGACACATGTTGATGTAGAAGAGACATGAAGAAGAGGGGACACATGTTGATGTAGAAGAGACATGAAGAAGAGGGGACACATGTTGATGTAGAAGAGACATGAAGAAGAGGGGACACATGTTGATGTAGAAGAGACATGAAGAAGAGGGGACACATGTTGATGTAGAAGAGACATGAAGAAGAGGGGACACATGTTGATGTAGAAGAGACATGAAGAAGAGGGGACACATGTTGATGTAGAAGAGACATGAAGAAGAGGGGACACATGTTGATGTAGAAGAGACATGAAGAAGAGGGGACACATGTTGATGTAGAAGAGACATGAAGAAGAGGGGACACATGTTGATGTAGAAGAGACATGAAGAAGAGGGGACACATGTTGATGTAGAAGAGACATGAAGAAGAGGGGACACACGTTGATGTAGAAGAGACATGAAGAAGAGGGGACACACGTTGATGTAGAAGAGACATGAAGAAGAGGGGACACATGTTGATGTAGAAGAGACATGAAGAAGAGGGGACACATGTTGATGTAGAAGAGACATGAAGAAGAGGGGACACACGTTGATGTAGAAGAGACATGAAGAAGAGGGGACACACGTTGATGTAGAAGAGACATGAAGAAGAGGGGACACATGTTGATGTAGAAGAGACATGAAAAAGTGGATTTTGCATGATAGGTGACCTTTAAATGACATTAAAAAAAAGAACTATTTCTTCCTCTCAGTGGATTGATGGATGCTGACTCTTACCGAAGCTGACCTCTGTGGCCTGGTACATCATGGGCACTTTGATGGCGCTGCCGTCAGGGAGGGTGAAGGGCAGGTTCTGAGTGTTGGTGAACAGAAACTGTTTCTGCCAGACGCCCCTGAACGCCACGGTGTTCACCAGGGCCATCTGCAGCCGGTGGCCCCACCACAGAGCCTCCGCCTGGGCCTCGCCGGACCCCGACAGCTCCCCGCTGCTGCTGCCCGACTGGAGGGGCTCGTCTGGAGGGAGCAACGGAAGAACAACCTTAATGTGAAGGTTTGTAGCTTTCAACGCATCTCTAAGAAGCTAGAAGTCCCCTGGTTGTTGGATAAGGCTTTGGGACTAACCGATTACAAGTAACATGATTATGAAATCAAGATACTGTTTTTATGAAGCTAGTTTCTTACCGTGGTTGTTCCCCGCTCTCTCCTGCTGCCTGGGGTTGGGCTGGCTGAAGTTGGCTCTCACCACGCTGGTGTTAGCCCACACAGCTGCATGTTTAGTGAACTCAGAGAGGAGCTGGACGCCGCTCTGTACGAACAGCGTGCAGGTCTGCTGCAGCCAGATCCCCTGGCTGTTGTTTCTCATGTCGCTGTGTGAATGCAACAGGAAGTTTTGAACAGAGGCATCTGCAGGAAGAGAAGAGAACAGGTCAGACGTGGGGTTTCACTACAAGCTGTAGGACATTCATGAGAAGGGGTCAGGTACATATTTATATTTAGCTCCTCTACTGTGACATGTCTCCATGCTCTAATGTTCAAAAAGCTCTTTATTTCTCTCATACTGTCTGTGCTGCAGCACCTCTTTTCACCCTCTGTCTGAAACCAGAGCCCAGTCTGCTCTGATTGGTTAGCTGGCCGGTTCTGTTGTGATTGGTCAACCTGCTTAGAGATGTCCCGCCAATTAGCCTATCGTACAATGTGTTGGAGCACTAGCCAATAGAAGTGAGAGTGTTACCTAGTGATGTCACTATGTTACGGAAGTAAACAAAGCAGTCCAAAGGAGGCCTTTCCTTCTACAGGGCCTCTTCTCTATATTAAAAGCTTTCTGTACAAGAATGGCTCTTGTGCAACAGAGCTGCAAACCACTAAAGTACTGCAAACTCTTAAGACGTTTTTGTATCTAGCAATCATCTGCTTTGATCAATTGATAATTTAAAGAAATATAATTCACACCACTTCAGAAAATAACTCCAAAACTGATTTTCTGCAACTGAATTCGCAGCATTTCACTGCAGGATTATGCAAAAACGAATTATGATGCCCATCATCATCCCTGGATATCTGACATGCATCATCACATCATGAAGGTAAAACAAACAGCAGCTCCAACTCTCAGTTCGTTAGTAATTAAACGCGCTGACCTCTCGACCCCGGGCCGAGCTGCAGGAGTAGTTTAATGAGATTAGAGTTGGTGTGGAGGCAGGTATTATGGCTCCAGACACCACTGTGCTCTGAGGCAGCAGCAGCACCGCTCCACACCTCCTGGTACCAACAGCACTGAGGTCCACTAACAACCTCACTGCTCCCACTAACTCCACCTTCATCTGCATATACAAAATCTGGGATGCTCCATGTTGGGAAAATACTGAATGTCCTCTTCCAGTATGAGAGTAACATGATAACAAAGGTATCCCAACTGTAGCTGTGAACATGACAGGATGTGTGATTACCTAGAAGAGCATCAGGACTGTTTGAGGCATATGATAGCTATGTGATTAACATGATGATTCAGCCTCTATGTGACGACTAGTTCCTGAGATTG